TTTATAATTTCTAAATGTTTTAATATTAGATTATATATTTAGAATATGTTAGTTATGTAGGTAGTTTTTTAAGTCCTTAGTAAGCTAGTTTAGTTCTCCTTAGAAGCTTATAGGTTCTTACTATTCTGATTGCTTATTTGAATTAACTTCCTCTTTAATAATAAAATCGTTAATATTAAGTAGTATTTTATAATCGATTTTTAACTAGGTATATTATTAAGCGACGTCGCGAGGTTCGTCCGAGTCATAGGGCAATTATTGGCCTATTAGCTATTCGTAATTTAATACATTAACATTATTTAGGAGGGGGTCGTAATCTAGTCCTTTAGTGCTAGATTCCGTGGATATATCGTTAATAGTTTTTTTATTTAAATCGTCCGGTTTAGTACTTTTTTTAAGCGTAAGGAAGTTTTATTCTAAGCGGAGTATATTATCTTTTATTATTATTTTGAATTGTTTATATATTCGCTATTTTAAAATAGTAAGGACTATTTTTATAATCGGATATTAAGGAATATAGGCGTTTATCGTATAGTAGGCCTCGCTTAGTTCTTTAATACGTTACTAATAATATTTTTTTAACGTTTAAGGTTCGTAAATTAGATTTATTTTTTTATCGATTTCGTCCTTTAGCCGGAGGAGGTCTTCTTTTATCTTAGCCTCTAGCCGTCTCTAGAGTCGTTGCTGGAGTAAAGCGAATATTACTTTTACGTTTAGTTATTTTTTCCTTAATAATCAGCTAGTTTTATAATAGTTAATTAAAATACGGATATAGTTTTTATTATAATCTTTTATTGTTAAAGGGTATTGTTTATAATATTAAATTATTTTATTAGGTGCTCGTTATATTATATAAATAGATTTACTTAGAATCCGTACTTTACGAACTAAGATCTCTTTTTTTAACTAAAATAAGTTATCTTTATTTTTAATTATTATTTTTTTTTCTAATCTACTTTTTACTATCGTAAGGGTTTACGCTCGTTTAGGAAAACTAATAGGTTATACCTTAACTACTTCGTATACTATTAAGAGTATTTAAATATATTTTTTATTATAATTTTCGATAGTCTTAGGGCGTTAAACTACTTTTTATTTATTTATTATAATAAAGGTTTTGCTAAAGGGCTTTTTAAGGTATTATCTTAATTATTCCTTATTATTTTAGTAAATAAGGTAATTATCGTCGTAATATATAGTCTATAAGAGCGATTTATAGGGTACTTCTTTAAAGGTAATATTGATTTGCTTTTTAAGGATAGGTCGTTATTGAATTCGTTTAGGTTATTTATAATCTTTAACTATATATCTTAGCTTATTGTAGTTATAATATTTAAATTCTTTTTTTTAGCGGGATTAATCTTATTTCGCTATACTAAGGTTTATAAGTCCGTTATATTATTTATAAATAGTAGTTTGTTAAGGATTATTATTCCCGTTATAGCGGTTTTTTTAGTTAAAGTTACGTTAAGGTTATTATTAGTATTTGCGTCCTAAGTTAAGTTCCTATCGTTGTTTTTTCTTTTCTTTTTTTTTCTTATAAAGGCGGTTATCGATCTTAATTATGAGTTTAGTATATTAAAAGAAATCGTTTAGTTTATTAATCTTAATAAGTTCGTCCTTAACTTTATCTTTTAGTCCTCAATAAAATATAAAAATCTTAGTGTTATTAATAAGATTAAGTTAAATACTAAGGCGTCTAAACTCGGCTAAGTAGTCCTTTATTAATTTAGTTTATCGGAGTTATAATATATCGCGCTCGGCTTATTATTTTTTATTTAGATCTTAAAAAAGCGATTTAAAAGCTTTTTCGAACTTATCAAAATTATAATAGATATCTCGTATTTCGATAAAGCATTCGTTAAAAGTTTTCTTTTTAAAATATTCTTCCTAAAAAGGTTCGAATTATTTAAAAACTTATCCTTTAAAGAAGCTAGCGGCGTATATAACCTTCTTAATTTCGTTATTAAAATCTTTTTAATAAAAGTTTTAAAAGTTTTTAATTTAAATTAAGAATCCTTTTAAGGTTCTAGGGGTCCCGTTAAAAGTAATAAATATGTTAAATTTAAGCTTTTATCGTCTTTTATTAAAAAAGGTAATAACGATATTAACGGCATTTTAGAGCGTATTTACTTAGTTAGCGAGGTTTAAAGCCCTTTAGCGTTCGTTCTTAAGTCTTTTGAACATAGCGTTAAGTATTCCTTATATCTCGATAATATTACGGTCGTTTTTGGTTTAAGCTTCTATTAATTAGGTAATAGTAATATTAAAAAAGTCCGTTAATTCTTTATTATATTAAATACCTTAATTAACGACGCGGCGTATCTAAACGTATATTATTTTATTAAAGACCGCGTCCTTATTAAAATTATACCTAACGTTAAGTATTTTTACATCTCTTTCGGCTTAGGCTAGCTCGGCGTTTAAAACCTAGGGCTTTTTACCCTTATTAAAAAAGGATTTAATAGATATTATTCGTACTATTTAATGAGTTTTCGTAAAGTCGACTTACTAAACAAGAGTAATTAAAATATTACGATCGGCTAATCGTAATAAGGTTTATATTAATAGAAGTCGGGGCTACGATACTCATAAATAATAATCGTCGTTAAAATAGCTTTAAAGAAATTATTATTTATAAGTTATTAAGTAAAAAGGCTTCGGTAATTAGTCGTAGTTTTATTAATAAGGTTCTTAGTAAAGATAGCTAAAAGCGATCGTTAAATTTAATATAAAAATTAATTACTAAAGAAATTATAAAAATTTATCTTTAAGCCTAGCTCGTAGCTATCTTATATATAAATCCTAATCGTAAATATATCCTTTATTTATATATTTACCTAACGGTTCCTATATTCCTAAGATATAAGATCCGTTTAATTAAAAGGCGGACTTCGTATATTAAATATATAGAGTTCCTTATCTTATCGTCATATAACTTATTTATAGTTTTTCCGTTCCGTAAGGGTAATATATATATTCCGTATTTTATATTATATATAATGTAGTAGCCGCCGTAGGCCTATGGGGCAAGTCCCTAGTCCCGTTATATATGTTAGGTCGTAATAATTAAATTAATAAATTAATATATCGATTATAAAATTTTATTTTTGAAATATTTTAAATAAAAGTTATTTTTTATATAAATAAATTTAAGTTTTTTTTAATAATTTAAAATATAAAAATAATATAATTTTTATTTAAAAAAGAATTTATAATTATATATAAAGAAAAATAGTTATTAAAATAAAAAGTATAAAAGGAAAGGAAAATAGGCGACTTGTTATAATAGGCGACTCGCTATGTATATACGTTATTAAAAAAATTATTATACAAAAAAATTAAATTATATAAATAATAATATAATAATTATAAAAAAATTAAATATAATATACGAATATATTAAATAATTTAAAAGATTTTGAAAAAAAGAGGCTAATGAATAGTTTTAATTAATTTTATATAATATAGCTTTATTAATTTATATAAATATTGGGAGGGAATTTAGAAGTGGCCCGCTCGTTATAATAGCCTGCTCGCTATGTAGGTACGTTATTCTATATTGCCGTAATTATTATAAATACTTTAAGATTTTTATCTATTTTAACGCTTTTATTCTCTACGTATTCCTTTATTGCTTATAGCTCCCTCGACTGTCTACAGCTTGTTCTTAACCGTAAGTAAGTACTCATTAACTTTACGAAGCTCTGCCTAAACCTCCTTATGCCACGTTTCCGACTTCTTTTACGTTTTAAATATAATCTTAATTGCTATATACAGCTCTTTTGTATGCTAACCTATTGTCACGAGTAGCTTCTTATCGTCCTCTTCGTTGCTTTTATTTTGTTCTTTAGCCGCTAATATGGCTCGCGTAGCAGTGATCCGCCTGCCGCTGGCGGCGTTCTCGGTCGCTTAACTAATCATATCACTATTGGTCTTTTGGTAATTCTGGTTTAGCTGAGTTTTGACGGGTGGTTTCCGCAGCCTCTGTAATGGCTGGTTATTGTCGCTCGCTTTTGTTGCCTCTTTCGCGATTGTAATGGCCGTTATATCTGGCTTAGAATCCATCGCGTCGCGCTACCAGGTGGGTTGTGCTAGTGCCACGTGGCGCGTTACAAGACGTTTCGACCGCCAAAACCACCGTAGCCTCCAAATGCCTCTCGACTCTTTGTTTGCTGATTTAAGCTTCGCAACGCATCGGTAAAGAACAAGTGACTCTAGCATCGCTGTTCGTTCAGTTCGGGGTGCACATGGTCAGTTCGAGTCCGACACAGTTACAATTCAGCTCTTTGAGGATGGCCGACTCAGAACTGGTAGCCAGCTTAATGCCACTAAGAATCTCAAGGCTAAAAAAAATCAACAAAAGCGCGTGCTCGGATTCCGCCGTCCACGAACCCGCGTATTCGCTTTTGTATGCCCCTCATCGCCGTACCATTCTCGGCCATTGCAGGGACGATCTCGATCCATGACGACGGGTGCTAGCTTTCTGGGATAGTGGTCACCTCCGGCATGGTGGATTGGTTGCATGAGGGAGTGATCTCACTGCCTCCCGAGGCAGTCACCCGCTAAATGTCGGCAAAATTAGGCCTCTCGAATCACCGGGCACCTCGGTCCCTTTCACTGGAATTGGCCAGGCCAAATACCAAGGCAATAGCATATCCGCTTCCATGACTTCAATTTCTTGCGAAGTGGATAGACATGTCGGTGAAGCCGAGACCCAGGGCCTGGTGACAACTACCAGGTGGTATGCTCGAATGGATTCATCCGCAGATGTAGGTCCGTAGCTTCAGGACGAATCGGCGGCCTCGTATCCCTCATGTTTGCTAGCAAGTCCCTACTGAAGACTTCGCCTCGAAATGGCCAATGTGCAATCTTAGATCCTCGCGTTGTATCGACGAAGCCCAACACTTATTAACCCGAACCGCCATTCAGGCCTGATTTTGCGCAGCAAGAGACTTCTAGCGGAAAGGCCTCACTCTTCGATCTTCCAAGACAACACTATGCGCTGCTTCGGAGCCTTTGCCGCGCTCGCCACGTCGACAGCCGTGGTATCTCAAGCTCACAGCCTCGATAACTTCGCCTCCCCTCCGAATATCTACCGTCCAAAGTTTAGATACTGGTGAGGTTTCTCCCAGCCAAAATCCCTTGCACACTCAACTGAGTCGTCTTAACCGAAAGGCTTCCCGATGCCGAAGTAGAAATTGAAGAAGTCACCCGCGACGTGGCCGAAATAGCCTCCGTCGGCGCCGGGGGCCTCGAGTTCCTACCCTACTACCAATTGCACTCGCCATCGGCAAACTGGTCCACCTACGGCTACGGCGGAAAGGCGTCTCGCGCCGTTTTCCGCGCCGCGATGGAGGCCGCTGTCGAAAATGACATCCTCTTTGACTTTTCCATCGGTGCGAATCAGGGACAGGGCGTGCCTTCGGAGCCGGGGAGCGTCGGGCTGGCGTTAGAGTTGGTGAGTCTCGACGGTTCTCAAATCCTCACACTACCATTTGCGCAATTTGAATTCTTGCTTCCTCGTGAGGCTTTCATGAGATCGTGGGGAACTTGGCTTATAACAGTCCTTTCAGGCATACGTCAATGTCACAGTCAAGCCAGGAAACTTTTACAACGGCACCCTACCCCTCTCAACCCAACCCGCAAGCCCATCCCTCCGCCTCTTCATGCATCCCCTCGAAGAATTCGGCCAGCAAAATCTATCCTACGTCCTCGCCGTCGAAGAAACGCCGCCATCAAACGGGTCATTCTCTACAAGCGGGGGCACTGCCGTCAACCTCGTCCGCGTAATCGACATCACAGCGCTGGTCAACCAGCCCACGAGATCCATCTCATGGACACCTCCGGAAGACTCACAGAATACCTGGCGTATCATGGCCTGGTATACCCGCTACACCAACCAGCGCTCCATCGACGCCGCGCCTGACGCCGCGACATGGGTGCAGAACGGGTCTTGGGTCACTGATCACTTCAGCGCCGCGGGCGCACGGAAGCTGACGGGTTTCTTTGACGAGTATATCATCCCCGAGGAGAAGGACAAAGAACTCCTCGCCCGCGTAGGGAAATACGGTAATTGCCCAATCAGCGAACGCGACGATTCACTCATCAAGTCTAAATGTCGTAGCTAACATGGCTACCTCCAAGCCTGGGAAGACAGCATGGAAATGGACACCGCCCTATGGTGGACGCACAACTTCGCCCACACATTTCGCTCACAAAGGGGCTACAATATCGCACCCTGTCTCCCTTTCCTCATCCAACGTGAGAACTACTGGGCCGCGCAGAACGTCCCCTACGGCGAATCTTTCTACTCGCAAAACACCACCCTGGCCTCACGCTGCAACGACGACTATCGCCTCACGCTCCAACACGGCTACGAGGAATACATCTGCGCAACGTCGGAATGGGCTTTCGAACGGGGGTTGGAATATTCGAATCAACCAGCCTATAACCTCCCCCTAAACATGGTACGTTACTATCAACATCACCCAAGCAGAAGACATTTCTCCCCAAAGACCAGCTCACCAACTCCAAACAACAGCTCGACTCAATCCCATTCGTGAACGCCCCAGAAGGCGAATCCCTCGGGTTCGACGACTCTCCTTCCCTCTACCGCCACCTCTCCGGACCAGCCCACATGGCCCTTAACCCAGTTATTTCCTCTGAAGCCGGCGCCGTCAACGGCGCATCATACACCCAAACAATCCCAGACCTCCTCCGCACCGTCCGCCGCGGTCTCGCGGGGGGTATCACGATGAACGTCTTCCACGGGTATGCGTACTCTGGCACCTTTGCCCATACGACCTGGCCGGGGTATACCGTCTTCGGGTATACATTCACCGATATGTGGGGACCGAGGATGCCGGCGTGGCGTAGCCAACACGGCGGCGACCACGGGAACGTCACCGGTTTCCTTGCTGATACGGTGGCATACGTCGCGAGGAATCAGTTTGTGGCTCAACTCGGTACCGCGAGGGTAGATCTCGCATTCTATCAGTACGCGGCACCGTTCGCCAAGACCGTCTACAAGAGTTATAACCTCGAGATGTTGGGTTTCACGTACGACTACCTCGGACCCGCAAGCTTCTCCTCTCCAAACGCCGTCGTTGGTCAAGGAGGCATTCTCGCGCCAGATGGTCCGGCATACAAGGCCCTCATCTTCGCCAACCAAACAAAGTTGACACCGGACATGGCGGCGCAAACCAAAGCGTTCGCGGAAGCAGGGCTGCCCATTTTCGTTGTAGGGAGCGCGGACTTCCAGAGTGTCGGTGTCAACGGGGTCAACTTCGTCCCGGAGACCATGGCGCAAGTCCTCGAGATGAATGGCGTTACGGTGATTGAGTCCCCAGAAGAGTTACCAGGTGCCCTCGCTGCCCTCGGCATCCGGCCACGGGTCTCGTTTTCACAAGATAGTGAGGTTGAGAAATGGTACTCCTTCTCGCGGAGGACAGAGGACGCAGAGGTCGTCTTCCTCTACAACGACGGCGAAAACTCCATGACACTCAACGTCAGCTTTCTTGACATGGCTGGGACGACACCATACGTCCTCGACGCATGGACGGGCTCGGCGTTGCCGATCTTGCATTACACTCTCGAGGAAAACAACATCGTCGTACCGGTGACACTGGCCGCGAACCAGACTACCATCCTCGTCTTCTCCACCCAACCCTCAACCGCAGATGACGGTCACAACCCATCCTTATTGCCTCGTTTGCTGGACACGCACATAACATCCACCTCAGGCCCCCTCGAAGCCCTCCTCTTCATTAGCTCCCAAGATCTCAACACCACTACGACTACCAACACCCGCGTAACAGCACACTTATCCCCCGGCACCTCAACAATAACCTTCGCCACCGGCCAAATCCTAACCTTCACTGCATCTCAGCTCCCAGAAACAACGGTCCTCGACGCATGGAATATCACAGTCATCGACTGGCGCAGCGGAAACGACTCTTTCCATATGGAAACCGCCATCACACCACACCAGTTCCTCAAGCACCCACTGGCTCCCTGGAAGGACCTGGACCCCGTGAACCTGGGTAACTCGAGCGGCACGGCAGACTACGAGACCTATTTCCGCACCCCGTCACCATCCGTCACGGGACAGCGTCTGGGGGCCCGTCTTCACCTGGGTGCCATCACTGACGCAACGAACCTATGGGTGAATGATGTCAGGATCATTCTCGACGTAAACAGCTCGCCCGATGTTGTCGTGGATATCACAAACTGCCTGAACCCGGCAGGCGTCGACAATATGGTGAAGGTAGAAGTCGCTTCAACCCTGTATAATCGCGTGAGGGCGGAGCAGGATAGCATCATGACGTTTGGAGTTTCTGCAGCCGTCACTGGTAGCAGTTATTTTGAGGTCAACCCGGCCAAGGAGTATGGACTCAAGGGCCCGGTGTCAATCCAATGGGTCGAGGTTGTCAACGTCATTTGAAGAACTGTGGTCTAAGTCTGGGCGCTCAAAGGGCTCAGGAGAGCGGGCTCACGTTTTCTAGCCAATTCCACTTTTCGATACCACTTTCCACAGCTAAAAACCGCATCATTTGTCTTCTTATATTGTATATCAGCTTTCCAGATCACCTTTTGCAGGATTTCCAGGCAAAATTGTCACATACATGTCACTGAGCAGAAGCATGATAGTTTAAATACATATTCTAGGTTGCTATTACCTCTTGCAACCCACTGTGCGAGTCATATCATACTTCGAACTTCGAGTCTGCAAGTAAGGGTTAGGGTTACAGCTCGAAACCCGAGGTGGATTGGTTGGTCAATGGCATGCGCGTCGATGCAACGACGGCTGATGGTCACTTTTTGCATAAAAAGTCGAGTAAGCCACACGATGCTCTCTATAGATTGTAGATACACGCAGGAATGTCTGGCGAGAACAGATCACGGCGAATGCCATAGACTCAAAAAGTTGTTCCCGCTGCTGCCAAGACGCACGGGTTCTGCCATGGTGTCCGCTCGTGAATGGATTTGCGGTAGCCCCTCGTATCGAGACCAGTTTGGGCTGGCGTTAGTCTCGTCGCTACGCCTGGCAGATGTTCTGCCGCGCTTCGGGCTTCTGTAATTCACCGTCGTTCCAATTGGTGCCAAGTAACCCGCATGCCTCGAGAAGGGACGTGTTCTAAGAGAAGGTGGTGAGAGCATCTGCCGTCACTGGTCGGTGCTGAGGCTGGCGACACACTGGTGTCCAGTCTGTTCGGCCCTTTCAACTGTAGACTCTCGACACTGGCAAGAATGGATAAGGGCACGCATTGCGGCCATCAGAAGCTATTTCCGTCGATGCTGCTGTACACCTTTTTTGAGCGCTTGGTGGCATTCGCATGGCAGTCAAACGCAGCAAGGGACGTTGTGGTCGAAAAGTGGCAGCCATATGCTTGTGTGATAGTGTTTAGCCCGCCCTCCCATCTCTATGCTGCTACCCTGCCATTTAGGCATGCCGGTATGGCAATTCGGGCGGCAGCGTGTGTGATCCGCGACCGTCTATTCGCGGGATCGGGAGAGTCGGTTTTGTCGGTTTTGTCGGTCTAGTCGGTCTAGTCGGTCTAGTCGGTCGGTGGCTTCGGTTCATTGAGACACGGCAGAGAGCCTCACTGTCGAATGCATCTCGGTGTCTCAGAGGACGGCCACCACCCTGGCCAGGGATTAGGCGTGCGGATGGACAGGCAAGACCGTGGTGAAAATGATTACGATGACGATGATGGGTTGATGCAGTGGGGATCTCCCAGCGGGTTGCGCTCCCGGACGCCCAGCTTTCAGATTCCTGTTAGCCATGGATACTATTTTCTGTGAGGCAGCGAAAGCTTGAGCAAGACCAATTGCTACGACATTGGTACGTAGTTCCGATGACATGTGGTTCCCATCCGAAGAGGGAATCCGATTCATATCATCTTCTTCCCCGTGTACATGTGCAGTGAAGAAAATTGATGAGGAATATGACGATGAATAGAGCCATGAACGACAGTGACCCAGCCGCGTGACCCAGCCGCGTGACCCAGCCGCTAGCCCCCATTTAGTTGGAGCTGCCGCGGACCAACGACGAATATTCGGCGCAAGGGGCGTGATGTGAACGTAGGGAAACCAAGGGTCCTTGGCGGTGGGGCAAATCGATCGATGTCCAATGCTCCTATCCGTAGATATTTGCCAGTGCACAACACGAATCGTGATCCAAAACGCAAAGTTTCGGCGGAATGGAAAGGCAACGGGGCTCTGAATGGATTGCAACGTTGCAGCGAGAAAACCAGCAATGGCCTTATCATCCACTACGGTGCTTCTGAGTAATCAACTTGACGGACGAGATTTTCAGGGTCCCCCTTCTCCACTGTTCCTTCGGTCTGGAAGGCAGGAAGGAAGCACAAAGCTTCGGGGAGCTTAGTCTCGAGAGTCTGGAAGAGCTATTTCTCACTCCTAAGATTTCCACGTCTTCAAGGTTCCCTGCAACGGCTATATTGTCAGCTAGCACGGACCCAGTGCTAGCCGGTATGCCTGCCATACTCGTCCAAGTCCGTCATTTCTTAGATAATTGTGGCGCCGGTGCATTTTGCATTCTCCACCTATCATTTCGGCTCTTCGTTCTTCGTTCTTCGTTCTGTACATCCCATCAGCCTTTCGCTCCGAATTCACATCTTCCTCGTTCAACGCCCTTAACGAGCTCCATGGCAGCCCCCCATGCCTTTCTCACCGGAGACTGCGAGGCACACTCCAGAGAAGCGACGGAGGCCGCACCAGAAATCAAGGACTGGGTGCTTTGATTGCCGGAAGCGCCGAGTCAAGGTGCCACCCGCCCACCACCTCGTCTCCGCGCAACTTGGACTAACCCGACATCTCAGTGCGGCGAAGAGAGGCCGAAATGCGGATCCTGCATCCGGCGCGAGGTCTTGTGCGAATATCCCGGGGAATCACAAGCCATCAACGACGTAGCAGTTGACACTCCCACAGACCGGGTTGGATATGCATGTCCGCCGCAGTTCACCTCCGGAGGCCATTCGAGCCGCGCAGACTTCAATCACCGGGGACGAAGCGCCAGAGGACCTCCGGCGACAGGGGTTGCAACCCCTGGGACGGATTCTGGTGCATCAGAACCATCAGTCGCCACTGGCTTCAACTTTAGCATCACAGATTTGGCATTGCTACACCATTGGACCGTGTACACGAGCGTCGATGTTTACAAGACCCCAGAACTCAACCCCTTGTGGCAGGTCACCTTCCCCCAAATCGGCTTCCGATATCCTTTCGTGGCCCATGCTATTCTGAGCCTGGCTGCGCTACACCTTGCCTACATCGAAGGGTCGAAAAACGGCGAGTATGTCATGAAGGCAACCCGCCATCACGAGGAAGCTCTCCAGGGATTTCATGCGATCGTTCGTCACGTCAGTATCGAAAATAGCGAGGCGCTACTCGCGTGGTCACTTATTAACGTCCTTTACGTGTTCGGTATTACAAAACAGCTCGCCGACAACGTCGAGGGCAGCTCACCTCGTCTGCGGAGGGACCGCGTGCTGGGCGCCGAGTGGATCCCGATGATTCGCGGTGTCGATGCCATTCTTGGCCCAACCTACGCCTACCTGCGAGCTGGCCGAATGAGCCAGATCATAGACCTTGGAAATTGGTCGGAGTTGGACCCTGACGATGCCAGTGCGGAGGAAATGGACATTCAGGTCTGTCGTGTGCGAGAAACGTGGAAGAACGGCAATGATGCCGAAATCTATGAAGAGACACTCAGAGTTCTACGGAAATGCCGCATGTTTGTTTTGCAGTTTGACACAATGGAACCTCGAACTCTACAGCAATGGAGCTGTAATCGGGCCTGGGCTGGGCCGCTTGCTTTTGTCCACTTTGCGCCACAGTCATACTTCACTCTGCTACATCAACGGCAACCCCAGGCCCTAGTTCTTTTTGCTTTTTTCGGTGCACTATTGCATGGGTTGAATCGCCACTGGTTTATGGAAGGATGGGGCAAAGACATTGTCGAAGTTGTCGAGGAGTTGCTTGGCAGCTACTGGAGGCCGTGGGTAGTGTGGCCGCTTGGAGTCGTAGGGATGAATTAAAACTGAAACGGGTCGTATTGAAAATTTTATTCTACAAGAAGTACCAGGCCCTACATACAACTTGTGCAGAGATTTGCCGAAGCAAATATCGAAGAGCCCGTCATGAGCTGATCCTACTCTCCATAATCGTAAGCCAAGCATAATCGGCCAGTATTCTTTGTGTTTGCTCTCTTTTCTGGCTCGAAATTCGAGAGCGCCAAGTCCATTGATAGAGCGTTTTAACGCTGCCGAGCATCTCAGATTGTTAACCCAGTCGCTCGTGACGGTGCCGAGGCAGGGTGTCCATCTTCAACTCATGGACGTATCCACCTCCAGCAAGAATTGCGACGATTTCAGATGGGTGTATAATGTTGAACAATACCATGACGAGAAACATGAGTAACGCATCAAAGATGTATAAGTATGCCTCGTGGCTGAGGAGGTAACCGTCAAAGCCTTGGAGGTACTCGGCGGCACGGAAGATTGAACGGACCATGACCAGAAAACTTCCAAGGTATAACGCCATCATGTGCTTTCGCCAGGGAATACTACTGTTTGATCGACCGGTGGGAGCGCTGTTGATGGAATAATGAAACGCCACGGCGATGACGACGAAGAACCCGAAGCAGATGAGCTGTACAAAAAGCCCGACAATGATGATCTTAGCGCCGCTGTTCAACGCATCTAGGGTTCCGGAAGCTTGGTAACCGCCCCCTAATTGGTGATGAAAATGGATTAGCTTTGGGCCATGAACTGCACAGAAGGTCGAGGGCCGAGGTGAACAAAGAAGCATTCCGGTTTTCTCGATGGGAACAGAAGACTTACCTCCTCCTTGTAGAATGAAGGATAGAACATCCCCCGTGACGAAAATTTTGGTCATCCATTCTTTTCTGATCAACGCATGGCCTTCTCCATCAATGACAGTAATGATTCTGCCAAGTTCCATGTAGATGGTGGCAGCGTACAAAGCTGGTGCCACGAGCAGCAGAATCGCTTGCATGATGTACGGACCCAGGGTGTAGTCGGGACTTTCATTACCAGACTTGGCACGCGCCGCATATCCAGTCACCTGCACTGTCGTCGAAACATGATTAGCTCTGCTTGATAGCACACTATGGTCGGAATAGCCGAAACAGGTTCAGCTGTTACCGATCACTGCTGTGAAACAACTCACTTATACCACCTATGGCCAGAGGGAGTAGGAACCAACATCTAGCTCGTACTAGTTGCCAAAAATGAAAGAGCGAGCTTCCCAGGAATAGGAGAATGAAAATGACAGCGCCCACAATCGTAGGGTCATAGTGATACAGTTTGAAAGAGTTCTGTGCCGCCAAGTCGGCTTCCGTGGCATTGCGGCGAACCAGGTCCATAGCGTCCATTGAGTGTTGAAAAAATTCGATCAAGTATGACTTCCGACTGACATGCGCAGATGAGGTACGGGCGTGGGATTTCGGTCCCAGGATTGACGAGTACCGACACCTTGAGGCTCGTAGAACACAATAAGAACAAGAAGCGAAGGAAGCGAAAGTAATGGGTCAATGATAGGAGAAGGAACGAGAGTTAGAATCGAGTTGCAATATCCAGAAATCACTTAAACTCAAACCAGGCTCGATTTGGGTTTTGAATGCTTCAACATCAAAGAAGTCCTCCCTCGTTCACACATGAGAAAGGGGCTTACTTCATGATATGACGAAAAAAACACAGCCCCATCATACCATGCAAGGCATACTGGGCCCTCTTATGGGAAGCGTAAGCAATGGTTAGACTGGCAGTACGCGACAGTACGCGATAGTACCATGGGTGGCTTAGCGCCGTGTCGACCTGTTCCAGGACTCGATTCGGTTGAATACCTCTGCTCACAAGCCGCGTATTCGTTCCCGGTTCGCTCAGGACCCGCTCCTCGTTGAGCGCTCGTTCTATTCCGTTCCGGGTCTCCGAACACAAATTATTTCAGTTTTCACGAACGGAACCTTTTGGGGCTTAACCTACCCTCAGAGATTTAGAGTGTCAGATATATTAGCGATCTACTAAGTAGATGAACCACAAAGGTAGGTGCCTCTCTTAGTGAGGCTCGCCTCCTGAAGTCCACCATTCAAGTATGATGTCTCGCGCTAAAAATGGCAAGGATTTCGGACATGATGAAAGAGGCAATGTCAAACAAGTATAGCATGGTAGAAGGATACACGTGGCATGCATGTTTAGAGTAGCAAGCAGGGCACGGTAGAAAGGGCTGAACAAGGCTTAGTGAACTATCGTATCCGTTTACTTCAAAAACGTAACCCATTTCCCCCCCTCGATAGTCTTTCACGACCCAACCTAACCAAACCCACACATAGTTTTCTGGTTTTTAAAGCATGCGAGCTCTCGAGCTCTCCTGTTAATGTGTCTAGTCATTTGTGCTGAACCTGAGGGCCTGACATATCCTGCCTCTTCGTGACCACGGCCAGCAGTCTGAGACGTGTAAATTCCACATGTCGTCACTACACATTTGGGGTTGGGGGTGGGGGATTCAAAGTCCCTCCATGGGATAGATCATCGAGCGGTTCGTTATGTTTGCCTGTTCGCCAGGAGGCAAAAATCTAATATACAATCGACAGCCACAGTTAAAGTAGGACCGTGGCACATGAACTCATAGTAGCTGTGCCACTGAATCGTCTCTCCATGTCTGGTATGCATGGAAATCGCATCAGCTTGGCTTCGTAAGTATGACATTACGTGCGTTGCTCGACGCTTCTGCCAGGCCAGGAACCTCCTCACTCAGTGAGTGTAAGGTCTCATCCCTAGATAATTATGACCTTGATGCCAATGCCATACGCGAATGAAGGAATAAAGTACTCGATAAATGCGTATACTGGTCACGTAGACCACTGATAAAAAATTAACATCACAGAAGGAGCTTACTTCGCTCCATACTTTTGGCACAAAATGTGCGTCGAATCCAAAGGGTAGCTCTCTGCTTCGACTAGAAGGTAACTTTTCTACCATTGAGTCGCTAAGGCACCGGGCCGTGACCAAAGCCGTAGGGGCTGATTTATGACTGATGAGGGCGTCATAGCTCCTCCGTCGGATGAGAACGATGACATTAGAGACATAGTGGAACTAGCGGCCGAGCTATTTATCATTATGCCATTCCGGGATATTAAAAGCCCGCCTATATTAATAAAGGTAATAGCCCGTTTTACAATATTACCGTTAAATACCGCCGTAAAGGAAGTATTCTAAGGAGTAGATAGTATTATCGCCTAAACGGTAGGTACTAAAGCCGCGCTTTAAGGCTTTATTAATAAATAAATAAATACTAAACCTAAGCCGCCGTTAAGGCTAAAAGAGTTAAAGTTTAATAATTATTATGAAAATAAGTTTTAAAACGATTAGTAAATAATATTTTTTATTTCTTTTAAAACTTATTAATTAAGATAAAATTTAACTTGAATTTTAAGTAGAGAATAAATTTTATTAGATTTAGACTGGATTTAAGTACCGTATCTAGGTACCGGATTTTATTTATAAGTTAATAAAGTTATTAACCAAGCTTTTAAAAGCGAGTCAATTTATAATACTTATCTTTTAAAGCTTAATTAATAAAATATAATTACGAAGTATTTTAATTTATTAACGTCGCTCTTATACCGGCGTCGCTATTCGACCTTTTAATTAGTTTAAAAAATAATTATTAATATAATTAAATTCTATTAAATATTTATAAAATATCTTGACTTTTTTGTTTTATTAATCCTTTTGTTTTAAGGTTATATTATTAAGCTTTTAAATTTAACTTATATTATTTATTTTTAAAAAATTTTTTAACTAAAGTTAGAGATATTTTATAAAGCTAATTTTAAAGTAATATTTATATTAATAAACCTCTTTTTTTATAAGAGGGATTATTAATTAATTATAACTTTTTATTATTATTTAATTAACCGTTATTATTATTTTTTTAAAAAATAGCCGCCCAAGCGTTAATTAATTTTATAAAGTTAATAATTTTTAAAAATAGCGTAGTTTTATTACTAAGTTTTTAGCTAATATATTATAAAATACGTAACTTTTTATAAATAATTATTTTAATATAAAGTTTATGTTATATTTTATTTATTATTTTTTAAAAAGAATAATAAAAACTTAACGGACTACTCTTTTATAACTTTTTTTAGAGTATAGCCTTTTTTTTTTTAACGAATAGTTTTAATAAATTTTTTATTTTATAATAAGGTAGTTTAGTAATGCTCTTTAACTTATTTTATAAGTTATTAAGATTAATTAATAGCTAATAATAATACTTTTTTAATATAAAAAATATATCCGTTAATAGTAAGAAATATAAGGCCTTTAAATTAATTTATTACCCTATTTACTTTTATATTAATTTTTTTTTTAAAACGAAGCGTTTTTCTAAACTATAGCTTTTTATTATATTTTAAATAACCGATCTTTTTTTCTTTTTATAATTAAAATCCTAAACTTATTAATTTTTAATAATTTAAAATAAATTTATAATACCCTTTTTAACTAAATTAATACTTTTATAAAAGTTAATAAATTTAATATTATAAAACGGAATAAATATAAAGCTTAAGGCCGAATTATTTAATATATTTTTTAATATAATCGGTTTAGCGAGCCTAGGCTTATATAAAATATTAATATTTAATAATATAAGTTTTATAAATATAGTTATAAATAATAAATTATTATTAAAATTTTAAAAATAAATAAATAGCTTTTATATTATTATTTAAACTTTTAATATAATTAATATAATTATAACTTTAATTTTAAAGCTTTTATATATTTTTTATATTATAAGCTTATTTAAGTAGTTTAGGATATTATTAAAATTATAAACCGATAAGTTAAGATTTAGGCTTACGATATACGTATTATTATTTAAAAATAGTTTTTAAAGTCTTTATTTATTTAATAAGATATTTATAATGTTAAGGCTTATATAAATTAAAAAGAATTAATTAAATATTTATTAATTATAACGTTAATTAAGTTATTTAATAAACGAAGTATTTTATATAGTAAAACAAATAAACGATAAGCTAAACCGCTTTATTAGCTTTATTTAAACTTTTTTTTATTATTTTTAAATATAGAAGCGATTTTTTAAACTAATTAGTTTTAATAATATTTATAATATTAATCGTTTTAAACTCTTTTTTTTTTAAATTATTAAATAGATTTATTTTAAATTTGTTTATAACGTTGCGTTTAGCTTTATTAATAATAAGAACTTAAAAGGTTTTTAATTTTTTTTAATAAGTATTTGCTAACTTATAAACTAATATTTAATTTATTATTTTATTATTATTATTATAAATTACGATAAATAAATAAATAAATGCTATATTAAATGAGCAGTTCTTAAACGTTTAGTAATAATTCTATATTTATTATATTAATTTTAATATTATATTTAAAGCTAAATAAAAGTAGGTCAAAGAATATAGCTATAATAATAATAATAATAAGTCTAATAATAAAAGATATTAATTATTAATATAAATAGTAACTATGCTAAGTAATAAAAATAAAGCTTAGATTAATATATTTATTAATAAGCCCCTTTTTTATACGTATTATAAAGTCTTTATAATATAAAAGCTTATTATTTTTATTAAGACTAAGTACGTTTTTAAAAAAGCTTAGATTAAGCTTTATAAAAAGTTTAATAATTTATATTTAATTTTTTAATATTTTTATATAATAAATTTATTTTTAAGAGTATAATAGGCCCGCTATTTTATTTAAAAATATTAGAATTTTAGTGTTTACGTTATTTTTAATATTAAATTAAGTAATAATAATATTAAGAGTTATTTTTTAAACGGTTTTAGTTATTTATATCGATTTATCGATATTATATAAAATATAATTAATAATTAAGAGATATATTTTAAATAAATTTATATTAAAAATAAAGTATTTATAAGCCGGGAGGATATAAATATTTATTTTAAATATTTAAGCGAATTTTGAATAATACTTTTTTTAAAATATTTTATATTAATTAAGAAATAATATCGGTTAATAAAAAAAGTAATACCGTTTAGTAAAAAGCTATTTTTAATTTTTTTTAAAAAACTATAGTTTAGATTATATTATTTTAATTGAATTAAGTATTTTATATTATTATAAAATCTATTTTAAAATAGTAGATTTAGTTATTTTTAATAAATAAGAGGTATACCCTTAGTAGCGTTTTCGAAAAAAAAATTTTAAATTTATATTAGCGGATTTTTAATTTTAAAATTATTATATCTTTCCGTAGTAAATTAAAAAATATAGTATAGTTTATTTTATTATAATTAGTTTTATTTAAAAAAAATTAGTTAGTTAGTTAAGTTTATATTATTTATAA